AACCCATGTCCCCCGCATCGGCAGGCGGACTCTCAACCACTGCGCCACCAGGGAAGCCCTGCCTGTTTTTGTAAATAAGATTTTATTGCGACAAAGTCATGCTCATTTATTTATATATTATCTATAGATGCTTTCATGTTACAGAGACATAGTTGAATAGCTATGAGAGAGACCACGTGGCTTGCAAAACCAAAAATATTTGCTATCTGGTTTTCTAATAGAAAAAATCTTGGCCAGAACTTTTTAATTAAAAAAGCCAGCCCCCTGGGCTTCCCTGGTGGCGCAAGGGAATATAATTGACATACAGCACTGTATTAGTTTAAGGTGTACAGCATAATGCTTTGACTTACATACATCATGAAATTATTACCACAGTAAGTTTAGTGAACATCCATCATCTCGTATAGATACAAAATTAAAGAAATAGAAAAAAAAATTTTTTCCTTGTGATGAGAATTCCGGATTTACTCTAACAACTTTCATATATAACATACAGCAGTGTTAATTATATTTAACATGTACCTTACATCCCTAGTACTTATTTATCTTGTAACTAGAAGTTTGTATCTTTTGACTGCCTTCCTCCAGTTCTCCCTCCATCCACCCCATCCCACACCTCTGGTAACCACAAATCTGATCTCTTTTTCTATAAGTTTGTTTGTTTGTTTGTTGAGTACAATTGACTTACAACACTATGTTAGTTCCTGTTATACAGCAGAGTGATATTTCTCTACAATTCAAAATGACCACCATGGTAAGTCTAGTTATAATATGTCACCCTACAAAGATATTACATAGTCATTAATTATATTTCCCACTTTGTACATTTCATACTCGTGACATTTATTTTTCACCTGGAAGTTTGTACCTCTTAATCTCCCTCACCTATTCAAAATATATTTTCTTAAAGAAAAGAATTATCCATATACCACCCCCTCTGAATTCTTTCATTTCTGGAAATATAGAAAGTAGTAATCTCAAGGAACCCAACAACAGTGGTTTCTTGTTATTATTCACATCTCATTTTCACACATCAAGGAATCAATAGTGGATGAACAAGAGAGTAACAAAGAAGAAAATGTCCATCTGACAAGATTTCTCCGTGTCCTGGCCAACTTTCTCATCATCTGCTGTTTGTGTGGAAGTGGGTACCTCATTTACTTTGTGGTGAAACGATCCCAAGAATTCTCCAAAATGCAGAATGTCAGCTGGTATGAAAGAAATGAGGTGAGGAGGGCATCTCTGCTGAAGTGAATATTTCAGGAAAATACTGAAATTACCCTGGTTCCTATGCCATTCAGCTGAATTATTGAATTCTGGACTATTGGACTAATTTTAAAAAGTGAAATTACATCGCTTATAAATCAATTGTCTAGTAATGCATGGGTGTGATTCTGGGCTTCCTTTTCTGTTCCATTGGTCTATTTGTCTATTCTTGCACTAATAACACACTGATAAACTATGGCTTTATAGTATGTCTTGATATCTGACAGAGTGAGTTCTCTCATCAAGATCCACAATAACACACATTAAGGTTTTATTGCACTTGCATTGAATCCATAAATCTCTCCTGGGAATTTGACATCTGTGGTAGTTGGCAAAAATAGCTACAAATTCTTCCCATCCTTGTATCCACATTTTTTTGCAATGTGGTTTTCTAGTTCCTCCCATGAAGAGGTGAAATCTGTTTCCCCATCCCTTGCCTTAGTCAGTGAAACAGTAGCAGCAATGATACAAGCAGACTTGAAAAGTGCTTGTATTTTAGAACTTGCTCTCTTGGGAACCTGAGACCTCCACCATGTGAATGATGCCCAGCTAGCCTCCTAAATGATGAGCGGCACATGGCCCAATTATCTCATCACCTTAGGTGACAGCAAATCCACCACCAGATGTGTGAATGAAGCTGACCCCAAAGGCCACACCCTGCACCACATCCCTCTACTGTTGGTTCCGTTCTGTGATCTGAGTTTCTGGTCTTGCATGCTCCTGAGATGAGGAGATTCTTACCTAGCTCACAGCTTTTACAGAACACAAAGCACTGTCCCATATGTTAATTCATTTACTTCTCAAAGATAGTTTGCTATTTTTATCAATGCTAATAACAGCAATCGTGGTGACAACCAGTCACAGAGCAGTTAGGACCTGTGGAACATACACTGACTGCTCAGGGCTTGTTGGTGCCTTCGCCAGTGTCATAGAGCAAGTTGTGGAGACCCCGGGGCATTTCCAGAGGCAGAGGAGGGGGCAAAAAGGAGATGGAGATGCATGGCCCTGGGGGTGCAGAGATGGTGGAGAAGCAAGTGATATTGATGACAAAACTAACCCAGCTCTCCCAATTTCTCAGGTAGAAATTGTGATGTCCCTGCTTGGGATGTTTTGTCCCCCTCTGTTTGAAACCATTGCTGCCCTGGAGAATTACCACCCACGCATTGGACTGAAGTGGCAGCTGGGACGCATCTTTGCACTCTTCCTGGGAAACCTCTACACGTTTCTTTTGGCCCTGATGGATGACGTCCACCTGAAGGTAAAGACCACAAACATCCCCCCAATTCCTAGTGCCCACCAAATTTCTTTTTTAAATATAATAATTTCCTTGTGCATAATTTATATCAATTTAAAATTTTTTGGAAAGGTCAGAAAAGTAAAATGAAGAAAAATATCACCAGATTCCTATGACCCAATTGTTAACATTTTGCTTCAGTTCTTTACTGTCTTTTTCTTAGGCTTTTTCACATCATCTGCATGTCATTTGGTACCCTTAATATTTTATCTGCAGGCTTTTCCATATTGTTTCTTAGCTACCATAAATGTTTACCAGCCCAGTATGTGCCCACTGAGATGATAAGTCATGGTTGAGTTAACCTTTCATCACTGCTCACCAGGTGGATATAGCGTACCCACCAAGCCAGGCCCTGGGGGTACAGCAGAGAGTAAGACACGGTCCTGTTCCAGGGGAGACAGACTCATTCATCGAAGCATGCTGGGGCAGGTGCTTCAGTGGGAGCAAGCCCCGGGCAGTGTGGCAGTACACAGGAGGGGCTGCAAACCCCACCGTGGGGGATCTTAGCAGACCTTGGAAAAAGCAGAGGGAACAGCTCATGCACACAGGGAACTATGAGTTAGCTGAACAATAGAGTGGAGGGGAAGAAGTGAAAAGTGAAATTGGGGGAAGGGCCAGATTATGATGCTCCTCTTTCCCACACGTCCCTCCTCATGAACTTTTTCCTGAGGTTAACAGGAAGCTACTGGAAGTTTCTCAGCATGGAAGTGACTGGATCTGACCGTTGCCTACTCTCCATCTTCATTTCTTGCTTCCCTCCTACCCTAGTAAACTCCTTCACCCTCCTGAGCCTCACATTTCCTCCACGGGGCAAAATTCTCTCTTGCTTCTCTCTCCATCCTTCTCCCCGTGTTTGACTAGTTGACTAATCCTCCTGCGGTGTGGCTCAGATGTCACTGCCCCCAGGAAGGGCCCTGTTGTCTGATGTGGATTTCCTCAGTCCCCAAAGAAAATTTCCCACAGCTCTTATCACTCTGGTCTGTAATTGTCTGTTCATCTCTGTCACTTACTAGACAATGAACTTTCTGAGGAAAGCTCCGTTCACTCCTGTGTCACTCCTATTCACTCTTGTGTCACCATTGCCTTATAGGCCCAGAATAGACCCTGAATAAATTAATCTCAAAAGAACAATGAGTAACTGAATGGATGGACAAATGGATGAAGGGACAGATGACTAATAACAGAGAAGAAAACTTCCTGGAAAAGACCCAAGGACTTTAGCCAGTTGCCCCCCTCTCCTCTATAGATTGAAAGGCTGGGAGGGCATTTCTGGAGAGACCTGTTGAGGGGTAGGGCAGGGGCTAGATGGTAGGGTTGTGGCATATGCTGGCTCTATTTGTTGTTCCTGTAGAAACATTGGACCTTCCCTGGCTCCTTCCAACCCCACATCTCCATCTTCCATTCTAGCTTTCTAACGAAGAGACAATAAAGAACATCACTCACTGGACTCTGTTTCACTACTACAACTCCTCGGGTTGGAATGAGAGCGTCCCCCGGCCACCCCTACACCCTGCAGATGTGCCCCGGGGTTCTTGCTGGGAGACAGCTGTGGGCATTGTGAGTAGTTACGCTCTCCTGAAAAGATGATCCCTGTTCTCAGTTCTTCGTTGTCCCTTCTTGATGTTTCCATTTTTAAGCCACCAAAATGTCAAGCTAGCATTTCTTAGGAAAGTTCCACCTTTTCACATTATCTTTTTTTCAGTGTCCCAAACATTTCTCTCTGTGCTTCATCTAGCAGTCTAATACCACTTGGATTTATTTGGAGTTTTACTGCAGATTTCACTGAAAGCCTGAGGTTCTCCACCTGGAAATCATGAATACAACTCCTAAAAGTTGTATACAAGATTTTGTGTGTATATGCATCAGTGCATTTTTCTGTAAAGAGAATTAAAGATTTTCATTAGATTGTCAAAAATTAACAACGACCATTTCCCCTTATCCACTTTCACTACTGTTCCTGTAGCTTACACAGTGTGGACTTCAAAGGCTAGTGTTCTTTGCCTTCCTAGGCAGAAGCTTGAAGTATTCACAGGTAACACAGGGATCAGCTGCCTTCTCTTCCTCAACTCCATCTCTTTGCATGGGGTTTCTATTCACCTGCCACCCCTGAAGAATCCATGCCCATAGAGCATTGGACAACAGTGTTCTTAACGGAGGTTGATGAAGTCCCATAGAGGAGAGGATTATATCACACACTTCATCAAACACTGCCTACAAGTCCAACAGCAGATATTTTCCTGAGGCAGGGTTTCCTTTCCACGGGGTCCTGGGGGCTTTTTCTCCCTGCTTCCTTCACAGAAGGCTCAGACTCATGACTTCTCATCTCCTCCAGTCTAAATTCCCCCATTCTCTTCAAATCGTCCTCATCTTTAATATGTAGAGCAGCTCACATTTCTAAACCCATCACAGTGTGTAACAGAGAAAACCTTCAAGTCAGTGAAACCTACCCTCTTTAGAAGACAAAAGAGAGTTCGTTACCTATATGATTCCTTTGGAATATTCTGCTATAGAATTTCTCTTTTCCTTCCTCACATCTTGGAAGGCATCTCTCTTGCCCTCCTCCCTGAATGCCCATCACTGATTAAAACTTGTTTCCTTCTGAGTTTGTTGGTAATGATGGGTTTGAGGCATAATGTCCTGCTCACCTGTGTCCACCACCACCTTCACCCCAGGCCCCAGAGCATCACCTTGCATAGACGTGGAGACCTGATACAAGTCAGTTTGTGTTTTAATTAAGAGTAAGAGTCTGAATTCTTGTTAAGGAAAAACCCTGAAAACTCATCAGCTGTTCATCCAGCAAGCATTTATTAATCATCTTGGAAGATACAAAAATGAATAGAGCAGACCCTGTGTCCCCTGGGAACTCCAAGTCTATTAGATGTCTTAAAGATTGTGATGAAGTCGGGTAGATCTTTCCAACTTTTCAAAAAAAATTAATAAATTATATGTACTCTACACATCAAAGAAAACTTTGTTCCTTTGCTTTTGGCTCTTCTTCTATGTGCCTCTGTGAAAAACCTACATTATTTTCTCTACATACCCCCCAAAAAAAATCCAGTTAGCAGGGGGTGAAGAAAACCAGCAGCTGTCCCCAGGGACAGTGGTCAGATTCAGTCTTAGCTGCGGCAGCTGGCACTTCAGAGCAGATGGGGGAAGCAAGGAGTGAGCCTTCAGATCCTACATCTATGCAATAGTGCTGAAAACTACCAAATACTGGGTATTGCCAACTGCTAGGCAATTTGCATACATAATCACTAACTTTCCCAGTAACCCTGCAAGGTTAATGTATCAACTTCAAAAGGTTCAGAGACTATTCCAAAGCAATGAATTAGTAACTTGTAGAGCTGGAACCTATAGTAAGCATTTTTCAAAGCATGGGGTCTTTTATCTGCACGACCATTAATCAGAGGGTCACAGAGAAGAATAAGAGTGGGTGGGGGAGCGTTGGCATGCAGTCAGTTGGGAGAAGCAGGCATGGTCAAACCCTGACCATCCCCTTTCTCTATGTTCCTCCTCGCAGGAATTCATGAGGCTGACAGTGTCGGACATGCTGGTAACGTGTATCACCATCCTGCTGGGGGACTTCCTGCGGGCTTGCTTTGTCCGGTTCATGAACTACTGCTGGTGCTGGGACCTGGAGGCTGGATTTGTAGGTCACCACTTCATGGACATTGTGCAGAAAGGCGTTCCAATCATCCTTTCTGATACAGTCAGATGCATTCTGTGCATTTCTTTAGGTGCTTAATGACAGTCTCTACTCTGTGGAGTAGTATTTCATTTTTTCTAAGCAGGACATAAAATCCAGTAGATAAAAAGTATTTTTTGGTTTTTTTTTTTTTTTGCATTACGCGGGCCTCTCACTGTTGTGGCCTCTCCCGCTGCGGAGCACAGGCTCCGGACGCGCAGGCTCAGCGGCCATGGCTCACGGGCCCAGCCACTCCGGGGCATGTGGGTTCTTCCTGGACCGGGGCACGAACCCGTGTCCCCTGCATTGGCAGGCAGACTCTCAACCACTGCGCCACCCGGGAAGCCCTAAAAAGTATTTTTAATATTTTCAAATGTTAAATTTTAAATTCCCAAGATTTAACCCTCCTATATTTGGATTCTGCATGTTTCTTCCTTTAATCCACGCTCACCTGACTTTCCTTCTCTCTCTCCTCACTTTGTTTTCCTCCTTCTCTCATTCTTGTCACTTTTTATCTCCATTTCTGGAAGACAAATTGGGAAGCAGGTTTCAGGTGGCCTCACAAGGACACCGACTACTCCCTAATGCTCACACACTTTATGTTCTTTCAAACAGTTGACAAATTTCCAAAACTCTGAAAATCAGAGTCAGGTTGAAAATCTGCATCTGGCTGAGGTGGTTCCTTTCCATGAAAAAGAAGATGACAGTGGGGTTTCCTTGGTGGTGCAGTGGTTAAGAATCCGCCTACCAATGCAGGGGACACGGGTTCGATCTCTAGTCCGGGAAGATCCCACATACCATGGAGCAACTAAGCCCGTACATCACAACTACTGAGCCTGCGCTCTAGAGCCCGCGAGCCACAACTACTGATGCGTGTGCGCCTAGAGCCCATGCTCCATAACAAGAGAAGCCACCACAATGAGAAGCCCGTGCACCGCAACGAAGAGTAGCCCCTGCTCACCACAACTAGAGAGAAAGCCTACGTGCAGCAGCAAAGACCCAACGCAGCCAAAAATTCATTAATTAATTAATTTTAAAAAATGATGAGAAGGAGAAAAGAGAATTGGAGGATTTATTTATTTTGTTTTTAAAGCTTTCTTTACATTTGACTCCTCATTTAATTATTTGCATTTTGTTATTTGTTTGAGTTACTCCTTGCTTGGAATTTCAAGTTACATTTCTGATTAGAACATTGAAAAAATGTTCTCTTGGGGCCTCCCAAGAACACACTGTCAGCCTGCAGGCCATAAAAAGTAAAAATTCTCTCTCTGTTTTTTTTTTTTTTTTAGTTTGGCTATGCTGCACAGCTTGCGGGATCTTAATATCCCAACCAAGGATTGAACCCAGACCCCTGCAGTGGAAGTGTGGAGTCCTAACCAGTTCACTGCCATGGAATTCCCAAAAAATTCTCATTATTTTCATTGGAGAAGACACTGAAGAAAGTTTCAAGTTTGAGAACGTCAAAACTCTTTTTTAAAAGTTGAAAACATGTTAAAGAAATAGAAATCTGAATCTAAGGTTCCTCCCTGGTCACCAGAGCAGGCTCTTTGGGGTGGAGTGGCTTGGTCAGTTGACCGGTAGTGGGGTCTGGCTGACACGACCTAACAGACTTTCTCTCTCTCCTCTCTCTCTCTCTCCCTCCAGCCCTCATATGCTGAGTTTGATATTAGTGGAAATGTGCTTGGTTTGATCTTCAACCAAGGAATGATCTGGTGAGTTATCAATTTCCTCTAGTGATCACCTCATTTGGGGAGTCAAAAAGCGGGAATCCCAGGCTTTGCCTCCCAACCAGCTAGCGAGAGGCTAGACAAACCATCTGGCCTCTCGAGCTCCCTTCTTTCGCTTGAACAGGACTAGAGGAGAACCAGGACAATGTCTGGCCCACCCACTTGCTACCATATATGTAGAGAGGGGAGAGAAGAGCTAGGGAGAGAGAAGGAAAAAAGGAAGAGGAAGGAAAGAGGGAGGAGAGAGGGAAGAAGGAAAAAAGGAAAAAGTCGGGTGGGAAAGAAAGAAGAGAAGGAAAGGGAGGGAGGGAGAAGGAAGGGGAGGAAAGGAAAGAGAGGAGGGAGGGAGATAAATGAACTGAGGAACTTCCCTCTGAGAAGGAGTTAGAGGAGGCTGCCTGACTTCAGCCAAAGGCTTTCAAAGGCTCATAGCAAGCCAATATCCAATTCTTTTAAGTTAAGGACTTCAAATACTTTTCTGAGCAGCAGTGCTGTTTCATGGACACCATGGAGAAACAGACAAGAGGCCATGTAATTTGCTCCATGCCTGGCGGTGGGGCAGTGGTAAAATCCTGGCCAGAACCCAAGCCAGGAATGCTCAGAGAGTCCCTGTCCTGAGGAATGGATGGCTATGGCTTGGTGATAAATGTCCTGGTTAAATGGGAGGCCCCTTCCCTTGGGACCTACAGAGAAAGCAACAAGGCCTCCTGCCCCTAGCCCATCAGTCCCGTTTCCTTGTGTCGTCCTTCCCCGGCCTCTTCTGCTGTCGAGCCAACCAGGTGTGCGGTCTCTGCCCTTCCAGGATGGGCTCCTTCTATGCCCCAGGACTGGTGGGCATCAACGTGCTGCGCCTGCTGACCTCCATGTACTTCCAGTGCTGGGCAGTGATGAGCAGCAACGTCCCCCACGAACGCGTGTTCAAAGCCTCCCGATCCAACAACTTCTACATGGGCCTCTTGCTGCTGGTGCTTTTCCTCAGCCTCCTGCCGGTGGCCTACACCGTCATGTCCCTTCCACCCTCCTTTGACTGCGGGCCATTCAGGTGCACAGCCTCGGTTGCAGGAGGGCACCTCCTCTCCCAGGGCAGTCTGCTCAGAGATCTCAGGCTCAGAATTCCAGTTCTGGTGTCACGTCAGCCTGCGAAAGGTCATGGAGCTTTGGGAAAATCATTAATGCTGTTCAACAGAGCTTTCTGCAGGATGGAGGTGTTCTATGTCTGTGCCATCCAATATGGTAGCCACCATGTGGCTGTTGAGCCCTTGAAATGAGGACCAAGAATTGAATTTCTAATTTTATTTCATTTAAATTAATTTTAATTTAAATAACCACCAGTGGCTAATGGCTACCATATTGGACAGCACAGCTCTAACCTTTTAACATATGGATAACCTACTGCCCTGGATTACCTTGCCGTGGGATGAGTAACAGGGGGCATTCTGAAAATGAAATGACCGTACATTTACAAGTCCCATTCAAATGTGAAGCCGCTACTGAGACTCTTGACATGGTCCTCATGCTCTACAGAGCACTGTAGGCTCAAGGTATAAGCCAGACTAGTTTCAGAGACTGGACATTGTATATAAAGAGATAAACAATTATGTAAGGAGGTAGATGGAGAGAGAATGTGCATCTACTGCTCAATTTCCAAATGCGACACCCTCTGAAAACAAAGCCCTTTCTTTTCTGCATAAAAAGGGATTCTGTGGTTCAAGAGTTTGGGACATGCTGCCCCTTTTATCTGCCACCTCCTCGCTTAGAAATGCACAATGCACACTCCTTTATTCAAGGCTCTGAAGAAACGTGCAGTGAGAGACCGTGTGCAAGCCGGTGCTTCCGTCCCTGCTGACCACAGACCCTTGCTCCATGGAACACCATCTAGGGCAGGGAGGAGGGTGAGGCTAGTAAGGTGCCCACCTTGCACTTGCACAACCCCGAGGGCAGTACCTCCTTAAACTGTGCACCCCAGGGCCTCACCCGCCTCATTCCAGTCCCAACCCTGCCTACTAATGTGGATCAACACGCTTTGGGAAATGCTGAACTGACACTTCTCAGTTTATAACGGACTGACCTTGATAAAGCCCTGTGCTTGGTGCCCTACAGCAAGGGCTGTGGGAGCTCAGAGGAGTCGTTAGCAGGAGAGCTCACAGCAGAGTGTGATGGGGCTGAGCGGGGGTCCAGATAGAAGGAAAGGGGGGCTGGATCCAGAGTGGAGGACCATGCTGAGTGGCAGGAGGCCTGGGCACCAGGCTGAGGGAAAACCACATGGCAGAAGTGGCAGAAGCTTCTTTAGGCTTCTTCCTGAGCAATGTTTGGAGGGCTGGGCTCTGGGTGCAAAGGTTCAGCCGGTGCCCCTTTGCCCAGACCACCCACCTGTTCCAGGCAGGAGGCCAGTGAGTAGGCCCGTGTTGTGTCTGGCCCTCGCCACCTGCCCCACTCTTGCTTCATCTGCTCCCTGAGGCCCTGACAGCTGACACCCAGATAGCAGAGGAAGGGACCCACGAGTGGAGCCCAGGAGGACACGTGGCTGCCACCTCCTTCCTGTCACTCTTCTGATCAAAACCCACCAACAGGGCTTCCCTGGTGGCGCAGTGGTTGAGAGTCTGCCTGCCGATGCAGGGGACACGGGTTTATGTCCTGGTCCAGGAAGATCCCACATGCCGCGGAGCGACTGGGCCCGTGAGCCATGGCCACTGAGCCTGCGTGTCTGGAGCCTGTGCTCCGCAACAGGAGAGGCCACAACAGTGAGAGGCCCGCGTACAGAAAAACAAAACAAAAAAAACACCAACAGCGAGAACATTCATCCCTCAAGCATTTTCACAGCTGTCCTCTCACTTGCTTCTGAATTTTACTCAATGGTCACCTTTTCAGGCCTTCCCTGGAGACCCTAACTGAAGTCTCACACACACACACACACACACACACACAGACACAGACACAGACACACACACGCACATCTTGTCATTACTTCTGTTTATCACATCTCTTTACCAACATCTAGCATGCCATTCTTTTTGTTTTTTCATCTCGTTTGCTGTCCGTCTCCCCCACCAGACCATAAGCTCCATGCGGGTGTGATTTTTTTTTTCTTCCTTTCTCCCTGCTTTACACCCAGTGTCTAGGAGAAAATTTATGGTCAGTGCTTGAACCAGACCCTTTACCTGGGAGAAATTCACTTTTAGGGTTGGGACCAGATCCAGGCAGGCAAGATAAATGAGTGAGATGGGCAGCATTGTAGAGTGTATAGTTAAAAGTAAGGGTTGGTAAACTACATCCCATGGACCGAATCCAGACCACCTGTTTTTGTAAATAAAGTTTTATTAGGACACAACCTCACTCATTTGCTTACATATAATCTATGGCTGCTCTCTAACTACACCAGTAGAATTTGAGTAGTTCCAACAGAGGCCATCTGGCTCACAAAGCCTAAAATCTTTTTTGGAGAAAAATTGCCCCCGCTCCTGTTTTAGAGCATAGACTCTAGAGCTGGCTCTGTCGTTTGCCAGCTGGGTCATCTTGAGCAAGTTACACAGCAGATTCATTGCCTCTGAGATGGAAAATTTCACAAGCTTTGTTAATTTGTTCAGCTATGCCTTCTTCTCCTCTGTATATAGTTTGGCCATTATCAGTTGTAGCACATCACAGCAGATTCCACTTTATTTCAGTTGTTGCTGTGAGGGTTTAGTGTGCTGTTATCTGTAAAGTACTTGGAGGAGTGTGCTAATCCATAGTAGGGCATATATACGAATTTGTTAAGCTTGAGCCCTGCCTGAATTCGGGGTAGCTGGTACTCATAACAATGCTATGAGGTGGGAAGCATTATCTACACCAGGGATCAGCTAACTTTTTTCTTTTAGAACCTGATAGTACATATTTTAGGCTTTGAGGATCAAGAGACAAAATCAAGACTATTATGTATGTACTTATATAACAGGAGAGAAACAAATGCCCACAAAGTTTTTACTGGCAAAATTCAAAATATGATCATAATAATAGAGTATAATTTTTTGTAATACAGGACTACCAATGAGAAGAATGGAATTCTTTTGAGGGGAAGGAGGTGATATTTCACATAATAGAGGTTCAGAGTTACTATTCTGTATCATCAAAAATCAGTTGTCCTAAAAAAAAAAAAAAAAAAATCAGTTGTCCTGCCCAGATAGCCATCTTTGCTGCCAGATAAATTTTTGTGCCAGACATGGCAACACATCTACCACCATAGAAAAAAAATTTGCCATAAAGCTTTATTACTGCCAAGCCATCGGACTGCTGTGCAGTAGGGCAAGTCAGGATATTCAGTTTCTATTTCTGATAAAAATTCACAGATATGAAAATGATTAAGTCATGAGAGCAAATGAAGTTTACCATTGACACTATTGACTCAATTGTACATGATTCAAATATTTTCTACAAATTACTGATGAATAAGAAAATGAATAACCATAGTGTGCACACACTGAAATTTTCACAAGCTTTGTTAATTTGTTCAGCTATGCCTTCTTCTCCTCTGTATATAGTTTGACCATTATCAGTTGTAGCACATCATAGCAGCTTCCACTTCATTTCAGTTGTACTGAATTCCATTCCATTCAGTTGTACTAAATTAGTGTTTTCTCAATTTCTTTGAGAAAATTTCACCCATATATGTCCTGCACAGAATATTCATAGGAGTTAATTCTTCAGTCACTTCAGACTTGGCATTAACTCCTCAAATAACAACTAAGCAGTATCAGAAACATCTATTGACTCATTAAGAGCCAAAGAAAACCACCTGAGATCACTTGCCTTGTGTTTGAATGTCCTCAACTCTTCAAGCAACTGCTCTTGCTGGAAAATCTAAAAGTCTTAAGTATATTTTCTCTGAATACATTCCTTCAGCTCCTACAATTTAATTACTTCATCACTGGTAAATGAGGACCATGATTTTGGAAACTAGAGGAAAGGGTATCCTTGTTATATAGAGACAGAAAGCTTAGATAAACTATGTCCTTCAGTTGTATGGAAAGCTGAATTTGTAAACGATAAACTTCTATATTTAGCTGAGGATATTTCTTTTTTTTTCTTTTCTTTTCTTTTTTTTTTGGTTGCACTGCGTGGCATGTGGGATCTTAATTCCCCGACCAGGGGTCGAACCCACGCCCCCTACAGTGGAAGCACAGAGTCTTAACCACTAGACCGCCAGGGAAGTCCACAGCTGAGGATATTTCTTTTTTTTGAAGATCAATCTTAGTAAAAACTTTTTTCTCTGTTTTTTTTTAATTGAAGTATAGTTGATTTACAGTGTTTTGCTAATTTCTGCTGTACAGCAAAGTGATTTAGTTATGCACATATATACATTTTTTAATATTCTTTTCCATTATGGTTTTTTTCCAGGAGATTGGATATATTTCCCTGTGCTATACAGTAGGACCTTGTTGTTTATCCATCCCATATATAATAGTTTGCATCTACTAATCCCAAACTCCCAGTCCATCCCTCCCCCTCCCTCTCTCCCCCTTGGCAACCACAAGTCTGTTCTCTATATCTGTGAGTCTGTTTCTGTTTTGTAGATAAATTCATTTGTGCCATATTTTAGATTCCACATATAAGTGATATCATATGATATTTATCTTTCTCTTTCTGACTTACTTCACTTAATATGATAATCTCTGGTTGTATCCATGTTGCTGCAAATGTCATTGTTTTGTTCTTTTTAATGGATGAGGAATATTCCATTGTATATGTACCACATCTTCTTTATCCATTCATCTGTCGATGGACCTTTAGGTTGTTTCCATGTCTTGGCTATTGTGAATAGTGCTTCTATGAACATAGGGGTGCATGTATCTTTTTGAATTATAGTTTTGTCCAGGTATATGCCCAGGAGTGGGATTGCTGGATCATATGGTAGTTCTATTTTTAGTTTTTTAAGGTTCTCCGTAGTGGCTGTATCAATTTACATTCCCACCAACAGTGTAAGAGGTTCCCTTTTCTCCACACTCTCTCCAGCATTTGTTATTTGTAGACTTTTTAACGATGGCCATTCTGACCAGTGTTAGGTGGTACCTCACTGTAGTTTTGATTTGCATTTCTCTAATAATTGGTGATATTGAGCATCTTTTCATGTGCCTATTGGCCATTTGTATGTCTTTGGAGAAATGTCTGTTAAGATTTTCTGCCCATTTTTCAGTTGGGTTGTTTGTTTTGTTGTTGTTGAGTTATATGATCTGTTTGTATATTTTGGAGATTATAGCTGAGGATATTTCTAAGTAAAGTGTTGAAGGTGCAGCCTAGTTTCTTCTTGCTGTTTATACTAAAAATGTGAGAAGAAAGAGATAAATTGAGGAAAGAACTGATAAGCAAAAAGGAACCAGGACTTGATGATTTGGGAAATTCTCAGTCTGTGCAGTTTGCAGAAGACTCTAAAAACAGGTTCACTGTTAGGAAAGCATGCTCTAAGGAGAAAGCCAAGGAGGAGGCTGGACAACATTTTGCTAGTGCTTCTGAAGGATCTGAATATTCATTCACACAGATGATTCTTTTAAGCATGTAACTCGGATCCTCTCAACCATCTCAGCAGAAGCCAGAAATAGAAATGGAATTATCCAGGAAAGATCTGTGTAGGACCCTCTTGTGTAATGGACTGAATTCCCACAACATACATGGAAGCCCCACCAGGTATTTGAGATTGTTGTATGAGCAGTATCAGAGCTTGGACTGAAAGGGGCAGAGAAGAGACAAAATGAAGGAAAGCTGTTGGACTCCAAATATTCTATAGTCAGTAAACAGGCTGATCAAATCTACTCAGCTGAAACCTGTGCTACTCTTCAAGAAAAAGGAAGCATGACTCCGAGGCCAGAGTCTTGGGCCTGGAGGGCAGAGCTGCAGGCAGGCACAGAGGGTTGAGCCGAGAGAAAATCATTCTCAGGCCTTTGAAATCTAATGGAATTTGGCTGACTGGACTTCAAAATTACTGGGAACTGGTGATTCCTTTCTTCCTTCCATTTTCTTCCTTTTGGAATTGGAATATCTATAACTGTTATCCTATGGCTGACCCACCATTGTATTTTGGGAGTAAATAACTTGCTTTCTAGTTTCACAGCTCCACAGATAGAGAGAAATTTTGCCCCAAAATGGATCATACCCCAAGTCTCACCTACACCTGATTTAGATGAGATTTGGGACTTTTGAGTCCATGATATTTAGATGAGATTTTTGGACTCTGAGTTGATGCTGTAATAGGTTGAGACTTTGGGGCATGTAGGGATGGTGGTGAATATATTTTGCAGGTGGAATGAGTGTGAATGTTTGGAGGCCAGAGAGCAGACTGGTGGGCTGAATAATGGCTCCCAAAGATATCCAGGTCCTAATCCCTGGAACCTGTGGATGTTACCTTATACATCAAAATGGTCTTTGCTTATCTGATTAAGGATGTTGAGATGGGGAGATTATCTGAATTACCCAGATGGGCCCTAAATCACGTGTCCTTATTAGAGGGAGGCAAAGAGATATTTGACTATAGAAGAGCAGTAAGTGATGTGACCTTGAAAGCAGAAAGAGATTTGAAGATTCTATGCTGCTAGCTTTGAAGATAGAGGAAGGGACCCTGAGCCAAGGAATGCAGGGAATGAAGCTCTAAAAGTTGAGAAAAAGAAACAGATTCTTCCCTAGAGCCTCCCTCTGAAAGGAGAGCAGCCCTGCTGACACCTTGGTTTCAGTCCAGTGAAACCATTTCAGACCTTTTGCCCTCCAGAACTGTAAGAAAATAATTTGTATTGTTTTAAGCCTCCAGTGTGGTAATTGGTTACACAGTAGTCACTGAAAACTAATGCATCATCTAATACGTCATAATTCAATGACAAAATAATCCACATTCTATTGACTTAAGCATCACATTTGAAGTCCACTTTTCCTGTTTTTACAAAATGGTTATGTAGCAGTGATTAAAAAAATAATAGGGATTTCCTGGTGGTCCAGTGGTTAGGACTCTGCACTTTCACTGGCAAGGGTGCGGGTTCAATTCCTGATTGAGGAACTAAGATCCCGCAAGCTGCAGGGCACAGCCAAATACTACTACTAATGATAAATTAAATGTTATAATATGGTGATATGCATGGCACTTGAAATGCTGTCATGTTATAACTACATCATTGCAATTTGTAGTGTGCTGTGCAGCAGTACTAAGCATTGAGATGGCCACAGATGTTTGCTAACACAACTACTCATCTCTGCTATTATAGCACAAAAACAACCAGAGACTATACATAAATAAATGAACGTGGCCGTGTTCCAATAAAACATTTACAGACACTGAAGTTTGAATTTCATACTTCAATTTTTATGTGTCACAAAATATTATTCTTCTTTTGATATTTTTCCAGTTATTTAAAAATGTAAAAGCCATTCTTAGCCCACAGGCCTTATAAAAACAGGTAGCAAGCCAAATTTGGTCCATGGGCCATTGTTTGCTAACCCCTGATTGACACATAAGAGAAAAATGAAGCTTCTAGATGCAACATTTTGGAGGGCACTTATAATTTGACAGCCCCATACTCAATGTTTTATATGAATTCATGTCTATGTCCTCTAAACAATCTGAGACAAATGCTGTTATTATATTTATAATACCATATTGTATATACTATTTTATTATTGTACTATATTATACGGACGAGGAAATCAGGGCAGAGAAATTTTCAGTATCTTGCCCAAAGATATCAAACCTCTGCAGCATTAACCAATAGAACTTTCTATATGAGGGAAAAAAATCCACATCTGCTCCTCAAATATAGTAGCTATTAGTCACATGACTCCTTGAAATGTGTGACTAAGAAACTGAATTTTTAATTTAATTTTAATAACCACATTGAAAATTACAGCTCGGGCTTCCCTGGTGCCGCAGTGGTTGAGAGTCCACCTGCCGATGCAGGGGACACAGGTTCGTGCCCCGGTCCGGGAAGGTCCCACATGCCACGGAGCGGCTGGGCCCGTGAGCCATGGCCGCTGAGCCTGCGCGTCCGGAGCCTGTGCTCCTCTAAAAGAAAAGTACAGCTCTAGTGGGGAGAGTGAGGGTATGAATACAGGCAGAAAGTGAGTAAGTAAATTGTCCATGGTGTCCCACAGCTAATAAATGGAGGAGAGAGGATTTAAACCAGGAATTTCAAACCATAAATTCCTGTTCTTGGCACCAAAGCTACCAACCAAAAGCCAGGAGCAGACAGTAATCTCTGGGCAGGTATTTGTAGAAGGCAGTCTGCATAATGGTTCTTAGGTATTTGAAGAAAATCAAAATCACTGTTGTGAACAGTCCAAGAGCCTGCCCTAGGCAATACTGGAATTCTCATCTGAAGACTAATTGTAGGTATTTTTGAGTCACCATGAGGCTGTCCATCACATCAGTATCTGGAGAGCTGCCTCCAGGCCCAGGGACCCAGAGGAAGCTCCATGTTGGTCTCATAGCTACATCACAGGCCATTTTCTCCCATGAGAGTATAGGAGAAAACCCATTTTCATCTTGCCGAGGAAGGTACCAGGCACAGGAGACCGAGGTAGTTTGAGAGGTTGTGAGGCCCCGAGGACTTGAAGCTGGGGAGCCAGGGTGCTGAGGCAGCTCTAAGCCCTCGCCTACAGGGCAGCCCCACGTGGGGGCTTTTTCCACTGCAGTCCCTGTGGAGAAGAGCTCTGTTCTTCCAGGAGAGTAGTCGTGAGTGGCAGCCTGGACCCTCCAGGGTATGGACACAGTTGTTTATGCCGTATGAACTTCACAGCACGCTATAATGTATTCTCTCCTCTTTCCAGTGGGAAAAACAGAATGTATGACGTCATCCAAGAGACGGTCGAAAACGATTTCCCAACCTTCCTGGGCAAGATTTTTGCTTTCCTCGCCAATCCAGGCCTGATCATTCCAGCCATCCTGCTGATGTTGTAAGTTAGCCAGGGGCCGTGGCTCTGCCTCGTGGAAACCTCCCCGAGACTTCCTTGGCAGGTCCTTCTTTCTTGCCCTCTCAATCTGGATTTCCCAGAAGCAGATCCTCAGACAAAGACTTAAACGCAATCTAAATCGCAATTGGAGGGAGCAGTGTGTGTAGGGAAGTAAGACAGAGAAGGGACAGGAAGGTGCATTCTTACTACTGGGGTGACTTTAATCCTGCTGGGAGTTCTGAGAAAGTGTGCCTCTGAGTTATCCCGCTCAAGGGTGAGGGATCCGGGGCATCTGTAGACCAGTTCCCATCCATCACTGGTTGAGTGTTGCTGGGAGATGTGGAAGGGAAGAGGCGTTGGTTAATTGCCCGGCAGTTTGGGCCAGCTGCCTTCATGGACAGAATGGTTTCTGAGTGTGGGGCGGGGCTACACTGGCAGCTATAAGTCTTTCAGTGAGCACACTGAAGATAGGGCCCAAAGCATAAGGTGAGTACTGGCGTTGTCTGCAGCACCCTCCAAAACATCCACTGGAAATATCAAAGACCCCTTCCCCAAGAAAGCTGAGGCCTGATGCAGCCTGCCCCTGGCTGGGCCCGCAGGACTTCTCTACAGAGCACCCCGTGCACTAGAGTGTTCGGTGCATTTGTCACCATCCCTCTCACAGACTGAAGATGTGGGTGGGCTTGGCAATATCTGTATCCCCAACACCAGCCCCATGCCTGGGGCGTAGCAGGCAAACAATGAACGCTCAAGGAAGGAGCAGGGCAGGAAATTGTGAAATATTCCTAACGTACAGAGACATACAGACAAGCATGTACAAGATCACAAGATTAAACAGATGTTAACATTTAGCAATATTTGCTTCAGATCAGTCTCTCTTTTTAAAAGAAAGAAATGTTACACTCCAAGCCCCACCCAGTCTTTCTCTCTCCCTCCCTCTCCAAAGGTGACCACTATTTGGATTAGTTTTCATCATTTCCAATCTGGACCATTTAATCACGTGTACGTACTATTGTTTTCTGAGTTCAAAAATTTTTCGTGACTCGTTCAGACTACACAGCTTTCCTCACTCACGTTATGTTTGGGGGACTTTTTCATGTGGATACACGAGCACACATTTTCATGGCTCTGTTGTATTCCACTGTGTCACAAAAATAATCAATAAACAATCTGTAATAGGAATAGAAAAGAGTTTTATTTGAGCCAAACTGAGGACTATAGCTCAGAAGACAGCTTCTTAGATAACTCTGAGAAGTTGCTCCAGAGAAGCATGGTTTTCAGCACAATTTTATATCTTGACAGAACAAAGAACATTAAACAAATCAGGAATACATTCTTTCAAGGTTTCAAAAAAGAAAACAGATCAGCACACACACAGCGAGTCAGCATGGCCTTGGCATCTGGGAAGCGAATCTTATCATCAAAGGAGGACCAGCATTGGAATCCTAGGAAAGGAGACATTTAATCTTTATTTTTCACATGGACATTCTTTACTTCTGGTCAATGTGCCCTTTTCTTTCATAATTAAAATAGATATAGGAGGTCCCTGGTGGCCTAGTGGTTAGGATTCTGGGCTTTTACTGCCGTGTCTCGGGTTCAATCCCTGGTCAGGGAACTGAGATCCCGCAAATCGTGAGGTCACCAAAAAAAAAAAAAAAAAAAAGCAGATGTACAACATATGCTTGATAGGTCACAAGCAGGCTGCTTTAGTTAGCATAAAATTCAAGTTAGCTCATGTATAAACCAGAATGACTTCCCCATGCCTCAATATGTGAAAATTTCTTTTATCAGTTGTGTGATTAAACCACAGTTTAACCATTTCTCTGCATAGAGATAGGTTGTTTCCACTTTTTGGCTATCTCCTTATATGTCTCCTTGCGTGCATATTACAGTTTTCTCTAAGATAGACTTCTAGAAGTGGTATTGTTGGGTCATAGGTATGCGTTTCTTCAATCTTTGAAGATAGTGCTGAATTGCTCTCCAAAATAGGTGTATTTCCTTACATCCTTGACTTCAGACATCCTCTGCTTCTAGTCCCGGCATGAAGGAGGGCTGACATGGTAGTGACAACCACCTGAGGAAATTCTGGAACCCAGACACCAAACCTGACCTTACAGGGCGGCACAGGGAAATGCTAAGCTTGGAAACAGCCTCAGGAGGAACACAGCCACCCAGGAGCATTTTATCTTCTCTGATCTCTGGTTCCTCCCTAACAAATGGGCTGTGAATTAGGAGAGAGGGCAAGGCCTCGTGGGCGCCTTCCCAACAGATGGTGGTCCCTTGCCTGTCCTCCTTCTGGCCTCTTGTCGCCCACGGTCCTCTGAGTCTTTGCTTCAGGAAGCTCACGGGACAGCCTCTGACCCATACTCTACCAAAGGCTGCGTGGTTCCTCCCTTCTGCCTGTAAGAGAGCTCGAGGATTCTGCTGAAGTGGCTCCACCTCAGGATCCACCCTGAGGGCAAGGATCAGAAGACCCAAGAAAAGTGACAGATAAGGACAGGCTGTTGGAGCACCCAGTCCAGGAGGCATCCCGGGCTTTTGTGGCCCCTCCTTCTCAGGTGGTACATCCAGGACAAGCCCCAAATCCTAGATCCTGTGAAAGGGAAGCCCAGGCTATAGCCTCAAAGGACACCCAGCCACCCAGTCAGCCAGTGGGGGCTGGACTCTGAAAACCACAAGCCCAGGACAGACATTCCCATCAGGGCACCCTGGGTAGAGGGCCTTTGGGGTCTGTGCAGTTGTGTTTCTAGGCAAGCTTGGAGCAGGTCACTTAGCACCTCTCTCTCCTCTCTCCGCACTTGAAGGCTTTGGCATCAAATGTGGTCTCCGACAAGTGCAAATAGATAGGGCGGCCTTGGGCAAGTGACTTAAACTCTCTGCATTCCAGGATGCTGACCTGTAAAGACAGGAGTCATCCTTTCTTCTTCACAGGGTTTCATCAAAACCAGTGAGACGTGGAGTGGGATGCACATGGCACAGAGCCTGACACAGGGCAGGTATCCAGGAAACACAAGCAGCTGTTTCTGCAGACAAGAAACCTGCCTCTCCCCTGCCTCTTCAGGTTCCCCAGAAGAGGACTGATTCCTTTAGTTAACCTTTATTAAACACTCTGAGAACTAGAAATGTGTTCAATAACATAGAGAGAGAACAGGGATGTCCAAGACCTTGTCAATGATGTTAAGTGGAGAACTTAAGATGATGGTAAGACCTCCCTCCACCCTGCCCAGAGGCAAAGCCTGGTCACCTATTCCAGGAAGCCTGCTGTGATTCTTCGGGAAAGGTGTCCAGCTCTTGCCATTTTCCAAGATCACAGTACCCCCGGAGCATGCTTTTCTCTTGCAGCCTGGCCATTTACTACCTGAACTCAGTTTCCAAAAGCCTTTCCCGAGCTAATGCCCAGCTGAGAAAGAAAATCCAAGCGGTGAGTCTGTCGGGCATTTTCATTCAAAAAGATGTTATGTTTTTGGTTTTTGCTAATTTGCTCTTTGAGCCCAGTTGTATTCTTTAAATGGCTTTCCTCTAAACCAAACCCCCAATTATCTGCATGGTAGGAAGCAGCCTTGAGAGACTCAATGACATGCATTTATATTCTGAGGGTATTTGGGAATACATAACAGTAATGACTTAAATTTTGAGCGGTTGCTAAAGAACAGGAGAAACTCAATAGATTAAACCAATGTTCATACACAATAAAACCAGTACCCACAGTAATTCCTACCTATTAAAACTAAAACTAGAAATACTAAAGAAAACAGCATTGTCAGAACAACACAGTGCTTGTGCCCCATGACCTAAGGAGTCTCTTAAGTCCCCTCCACACTGGGGCAGCCTCTTTCAACATCTGCTGACACGCTGACTGCCTCTTCTGCTCTCCCAGCCCCCAACCCCACCTTCTTCATGCGGTAAAGGCTCTACACCAACCCTCCCTAAGCCCTGCCTTCCTTGCTTCCTCACCCCCTCTTCTGGAACTAGTCTCATCAGCCTCACTGCCAGTTCCCCACCCACACTTCCTCCTGCCCAGGTATAGAAAACCATTGAAATACAGGATTGGCAGAGGTTCTGTCCTCCCCTGGCCAGATGTTCCTTCAAATGCCATGCAAACCTGAGTCCCAGGTGCCCTCTCCAACCAGCGGTGAGGACAAGAACTGGCTATTTAAGGTGGCTGCCCTCTAGATCTCACCATCCTGGGCTCCGAAACTCAAACACTCATTTCCCTGACCAGGATCAACCTTTCATTTTTTTTCCTGCAGCTACGTGAAGTTGAAAAGAGCCACAAATCTTTCAAAGGCAGAGCCACAGCCAGAGATTCAGAGGACACAGCTAAACGCAACTCCAAAAATGCCACCCAGCTCACCAAAGAAGGTAAATTCTATTTCATGATGATTATTTTTACAAGGCCACGTGGGAAAATGTAAAGAGCAAATGCTGTGAAATCAGATACATCTGGGATTGAAATCAGATTTCTGGCAATTATTAGCTGTATGAAGCTGGGCAAAATAAAACAAGAGTGAATCGCAGGCAACCTCGAGGGGTGGTACAAATGAGGTGGGATTATGCATGTGAAGTGCTACACAGACTTCCTGGCACAGAGAACCAATGAACGTGAGCTGGTAGGAGGAGGAGGAATGTCTGTAAAATGGGGAAATACCAGGGTTGTTTCCCTCATTTCTATCCCCTGAGTCACTCACATTTTCTATGGTGGTGGTTCTTAGTCATTTCATCTTCGTTTCTGAAGTGACTTTGTCTTCTTCACTCTCATTCCCGAGTCTGTCATTTCCCGTGTCATATCCTCTTAATATCTGGCTATTTAACCCAATGTAGGAGCATTGGGTTTGTGTCCCATCCATATCCTTTAAGATGCTCTGAGGTTGGCTGACATGGATCACAGCTGCCAGGGATGGAGGAGGTATTTGTTTTGTGTGTTGTTTTAAGCATTTTCTTTAGGAGGAGAAATAAGGAGATTTGCATCTAGCAGCTGCTACTCCCACCAGAACCAGTTTGTATTCTCTTAGAGAAAAGAGCAGCACTGGAATAGCTAGGATAACAGGGTGAGAAAAAGCCACACACATTCCAAAAAAGGTGTCACAGAGCTTCAAAGGGGAATAATCACAGACCATCTCTACCTTGGGAGTGAGGAAAGGTCAAATTGAAAGAGACCATCTCTGATCTGATCTCATTTTCCAAGGATTGTCCCTGTGTCAAAATTAAAGTGTCAATATGCGGTAATTTTGACCTTCGATGTGGAAATTGAAAGAGATGCACAAGAAATGGCTGAGAGTTTAGGAGTTAGAATTTTTAGTGCAGAGATTACTTATCATTTATTTGATGCCTTTGTAACATATAGGCATCTCTAGGAAACAGAACCAAGAAGAATTTAAGCACATAGCAGTATTTCCCTGAAGATGAAAATCCATAGTTCTCGAGCTCCAATAGTGCAGAGAGTGACTGTAGAAGCAGATCCGGAGCAAAAAAGGGCACCTGTGTGTATCCCTAGCAAACACTTGTTGATATTGGAATAGCAATAAGTATTAAAATAAGCCATAAACAAGTGGATGTTACAAAAAGAGGACAAGAGGTCTGTGTCAATGTAGAACCTATTCCTGGTAAGTCTCCAAAATATATGGAAGGCATTTCAAAACTACAGACATTCTTGTCAGCAAGATCAGCTGCAGTCCATCAATAGCTTGGAAGCCTCATTGAAAGATGGAATGCAGAAGAGTGAACGGCTGGCACTTATTGTGGAGCAGAAGAAAGTGTTTTGGGGGGGCTTTTTTTTTTTTTTTTTTTTTTATTTTGGCTGCACTGGGTCTTCATTGTGGCATGCAGGAACTTTAGTTGCAGCATGCGGGCTTAGTTGCGGCATGTGGACTCTTAGTCGCGACATGTGGACTCTTTGTTGTGACATGCAGACTCTTAGTTGCGGCATGTGAACTCTTAATTGCAGCATGCATGCAGGATCTAGTTCCCAGACCAGGGGTTGAACACTGGCCCCCTGCGTTTGGAGAGTGGAGTCTTACCCACAGGACCACCAAGGAAGTCCCTGTAGAAGGTGTTTGAATTCACCTAATTTTTCCACACAGGGCAGGAAATGGAGTAAATGTGATACTATGTTGTCATATCACCAACAAAAACAAGACAAAAAATGGAATGGACTTATTTCGACACCGATGGAAGGAAAAAATAGGTTTATAAAACATTTAACATGAGAAAGCAAGAAAGTTACATTGGTTTGACAGTGGTCCATTCATGTGCCCATGATCTTGGGTGGCCTCGGCCTGCAGCGGCTTTAAGCAAGGTTTTGGTTCCCGGCCACAGATTAAGGTAGGGTTGCAGCAGTGAGAGTGCAGAATCCTAGCCACTAGACGAATGGTCAGTGATAAGGCCCTGACCCTTCAGCTTTGCAGAAAAGAGTTCCCACAAAGAAGGAAAGTAGTGAAACAAAGTGTTTATTAGGAGGAAAAAGTACAGTACTTGTGGATAGACACACGGGTGGGCTCAGAGAGAGAGTCACGCCCTTGTGGTAATTTAAATCACTTATATGGGGCATTTCTTCTGGGTTTCCTTTGGCCTATCATTTTGATTTGCCTGGTTCTGAGTCTGTATTTGGTATATCTCACGGTCCTCCCCTGTGTGTGTGAGCATCTCTCAGCCAAGATGGATTCCAGCAAAGAGGCCTATGGGTGGCCTTGACATCACTCCCCTTTTGACCTCCAAGGAGCTTTCTAGTCAGGAAGGTCTCCTTGACTTCAAGAATGAGAAATATGTGGTCTTTTATCTCTTATCTGGGCAGGACCCAGCCTCCTGTCTTGATCATCTTGCTATTGATATTTTGCAGTTTCTGTCCACGGGAATGAACTCCAGCTGCTTACCCTTGGGGGGTGGCCCCATCTATCTCCTACCTCACCTACAGTCCCACTGTTTCTGTCCACCTTACCCACTCCCTTCCCCTCCTTTCTCTACTGCTGCTGATCTAAAGTTTGCCCCTCTCCAAATTTGAATTTTTTATTACAGATCTAAAGCTCTTTCTTTCCATTTTATGCTGATTAAGTCAATATTACAGTATATGAAAGGGTTATGTGAACACATCAGTGGGACTAGGGTGTGGGGGAGAGCTGAGGAAGATGGTTAATCTTTCCCTGTAAAACTCCAGTAGCCTCTGTTGCTGTCCTCATTTAGCTTCTCTTTCTTGAAGTTAGCACTAGAATGACACTGATGTAACAAACAGGCCAAAAACAGCTAATGGTTCAAACACAATAAAACTTCATTTCTCACTCCATAATGTCCAAATTGGCTGTTTCCACTCGATGACCACTTTCTTCCCAAGTGGTAATGTTAACGTAAGTTTGTGTGCCTGATGCCAAAATATTGGCTCTCTATGCACTGATGCCAAAAGGAAATATGAAGACAGAGTTTTGGAGGAACAAGAAAGAGTACCTTTATTCTTTGCCAGGCAAAGAGGGAACACAGTGGGCTAGGGCCTCAAGAACTGTGCTCCCCTCCCTGTGGAATAGAGGTTTATATCCCAGTGGTAGGTGGTCAGGCTCAAAGTAATGAAGGTCTTGCATGTTTTTCTTTTCTTCTGCAAATTTACAGCCAAAGCTGGCCTCAGGCGGCTCAGCAACCAGGTCTGGTGTCCCTGAAGTTATCAAGACATTCTTTTTGAAATGCAGAATGCTACAGGCGAGTGTAGGGGGAGAAGAATGCCAGGTGCAGAGAACAATTCCTGTGGAGTCAGAGAGTAATTAGCTTTGTTTAGCTTTGTGAAGGACAAGTCTAGCTACAAGTGTTTGTTAGTAGTAACCGCTAAAGAATAACCAAGATTGCTTAACTCTTTCAGGCCTGTTTATTGTTTCCCCAGCCTGTTCATTGTTTCCTTATTTTCCTTGTTTATCAGAAAAGTCTCATTTCTATTTAAGTCTTATTTCTATTTTTGCTGCAACATGCCCAACACACAGTGAGGCCAAACAAACTGAAACGTCGGAGTTTGGAGCAGAGAAAGGTTTATTGCAGTGTCATGCAAGGAGACAGGTGGCTCATGCCCTAAAAGTCCCAAGCTCCCCAGAGGGTTTCGACAAAGCATTTTTAAAAGCCACGTGAGGGAAGGGGATCCTAGGGTGTGTGATCAGCTCATGCACAGTTCTCTGATTGGCTGATGGTGAGGAAACAGGGTGGTGTCACAGGGGTTAATGTTATCAGTCCTTAGGCTCCAGGAGGCCTGAGGCTATGTGCCCATGGTCATCAAGTAGTTAACCTTTTCCATTTGGTGGGGTATTTTCACATCTATAAAACAACTCAGGAAATGTGCATCAAATACTGTTATCTAGGTACTTCAGAGAAGAGCTAAAGCAGAGGATATGGGGGAAAGCCTGTCCCAGGAAGGCCCCATGGGGTCCTGCTCCGTTGCAGTGATGTGGGGAACCCTGGCTCTGTCCATCCTGTGATTCTACCTGCATCAAGCGGGGACGGGGAGGAGCCTGGAGGTCACACATGGACATGGTGCCCATCAAAGCTGGGGTTTCAGCCACAGGCCATACCATCCACGATGTAAACTTAGTCTATCTCTATGTCCCTGGAACTGGATTTGGTGAAGAACAAGCCAGTAATTGCCCCCAGCTCAGAGTTGAAGGAGGGAAACAAGTAAGAGAAAGAGCTGGAAATGGATCTGATTAGCAGGAGCACCATTCTGGGGTTGATCCAAACAGTTTCCATAACCCTATTATCATATTTGACCCTGGTAGCCACCTGTGAGGCTCCAATTTTATTCTCAAGAAAACCAGGCTCACAGAGTCTAGCCTAAGGCCAGCATTCAAAATCTAGTTCTCCAGCCAGCTCCTCCTACACAGCTGTTTATGCCAAGACTAGGCCAAGGTGCACCTAGTTGCCTGAGGGTGATCCGACCATTCTCACATCACTAAATAGGACTGAAAGCTAATGGCAGCACAGGGCAGCTCCAGAGAGCTCCAGTTCCACACCAGAAAACTGTAGGCAAATCTCCCACATCCTCATTCTTGTCTTGTTCATTTTGCAGGGACCGCACATCACCCTGCTAGCCCAAGCCAGACCCTGGACCAGAAGGCGCAGGGCTCTAGGGCCTCCAGTTCTGCTGGCAGGACTGTGTCGCCTGCCTCCCAGCACCCCCTGGCGTCAGACCAGACTCTGGCCAAGCCCAGCCTCAGGCTCGTCCTTGGAGGTCAGCCTCTGGAAGGAGTGCTCAGAGACCTCCCCACTGACAGCTGGGACTAATGGAGCAGGGTCCTGGGGCTGATCCTTGGACTCCCACTGGCTCATCTCACCCCCACAAATCGTTCTCTCTTCCTCTCTCTTCTCACACACATGCACATTCTCCCTCTTCTCAGTGAACGTGGGAACCTTGATTACTCAGTCTCAAGCCCTTGTTTGCTACCAAAACAGGAGGACAATGGCTTTATCCACCTTTTAGAAGAGCTGAGCCTTCCCCTCACTAACTGCCCTTCCCTGTATCTTGGCTCAGGCAGCTCTAGACCTTGCACTCACAGCGGTTTCCCTCGGCTCCAGACTTGGGAAGAGGGGGCAGGACCATGACCACCATCATAGACTTTTTGCAAGGAGCCCATGTTGGGACAGGTTTCTGGCAGCCCCATCAACTGGGAGGAGGTTGCAGAGGGACCCACATTCCTGATCACCACCTCTATTCAAAGGAGGTGAGCCAGTGTAAACAAAAGGTTGAAGAAGCCGATGAAAATAAAAGTAAATGAACTGAAGTCCAGCCTTGGTGAGTGGGAAGATGGTGATTCCCCAGAAACTAGCCTGAGGGGAGCTGATGCCATCAAGCACCAAAAATGCACTGGAGCCTCCCTGGCAGCAAGGCAAGGAGAGAGAGCAGTGTGGTTCTCCTTATCTAATTGAAGGAAACAAAATATTTCTCAGGGCATAAAAATCTTTCTCATGCATGAAATTCTAAAAGGAATTTGATTGTTTATTGTAAAGGGACACGGAAGGTGGTTTGGGGGGGAGTTTTGCAAAGGGTGCAGTGCAGAGCCTTGTCTCTGGCAATGCTGTGTGTCACATACTGGTTCTGTGCAGAAGTCTCATGGGGGCATCAGCCCTGGAGGCCAGACCGCTGAAGAGGCCTTGCCAGCAAGGGCAAGTATCAGCAGGGTGCCAGTAACAACCCAGGACTTCCAGTGGTTACCCTCAGGCTTCCAAGTTTAACCAATATCCCTACACACCCACCACAAACACAGACAAATTATCCTGTTCTGATGACGCACAACTTTATGTGAAGGAATGTATTTGTTATCTGTTGCTGCATAACAAATTAGCCCCAAAACTTAACAGCTTAAAACAATAAACATTTATTATCTCACACAGTTTCTGTGGGTCAAGAACTTGGGATTGGCTTCACTGGGCAGTTCTGGTTCTGCATATTGCAGTCAAGATCTGAGGCAGGGCTATGGTCATCAGAAGATTTGACAGGGCTAGAAGATATGTTTGCAAATGGCTCACTCACAGCTGCTGGCAGGAGCCTTCAGTTCTTTGCTGGCTATCCACAGACTTGATTACTCCCCACGTGGACCTCTTCATAGGCTGCTTGGGTGTCCTCACAACACAGCAGCTGATTTCCCCCCAGAGCCAGTGATCCGAGAGAAAGCAAAGAGGAAGCCACAAGGCCTCTTATAACCTGTTCTAAGAAGTTACACTATCAATTCCACCAGTTTCTATTCATTAGAATGGAGTCACTAAGTCTAGCTTACACTCAAAGAGAAGGAAATTTGGCTTCAGCTCTCGAAGAATTTTTGGACATATTTTAACAGATCTCCTAATTCGAATAGTTACCAGATCTCTATCAAGAAAACGCTAAAGCTTTTTTGAAAGACATCCGTCAGAGGATTCATTAATGATGGCTCCTGCTACTGTCAAGCGCAACAGGAAACTAGGTGAGCTAGGGAGTTGGGTAGAGAAAGAAGGCAAGGGTAAGAGAGGAGGGATGTTCATGTGGTGTGGCTTTACAGCTGGGACATGTCGTTAGAAAACTGTCTAAATTGTGCTTTCATCTCTGCATTCTCAGGTTTGATCTTCCAGCTAATTCCATCTTAAAGCTTTGCTACTCAGCCTATCCAGGGGTCATCAAGTATGAAGACCACTCTTCCCTCCTTCCCTCTTTCCTTCCCTTCCTTCCTTCTTTCCTCTCTTTCTTTCTTTCCTCAGCTCACCTAAGAATGATTTGAACTAGAAAGTCTATTTAATAATTCATCCATAGGAATATAACTGGTATCTTACTGATATTACCTTAGTTTGTCTGTGAATTTGTCTTACTGGAGGGAAATGAAAGAGACACTGAATTTTTCTGTCAGACACTATTTCTACAGGCTGATCCTTTCATTTCTAATAATATACATGCTCAATGTCTATAAAGAGCTCCATTATACACAGAACCACATAAGTAGGAACACACTTTTGCTGAAGATCAAGGGGGACACCTGATCACCCCGTGACTCACACACTCACAGAAACTGGGAGTGATGAACCAGTCAGTAGGTACCTGGGCAGTGTACCAACAGCATCCACTACACTGGTGATCCTCAATTCAGATATGCTTTGTAGAGCCCTACCCAAAGCTGGGGCACCAAAGTTCCACATGCTGTATAAGAGACAATAAGGAATAAGCCTGCCAAACAAAAGGGACATTTGTCTCTCTTGACCTCAGCAGAAAGTGGTGGACAAAAAGTCTCCTTTGAGAATTTATATCCACAAGGCAGCCCTCACACAGAGAATCAAAATCCCCATACCAGCTGCATGTTCAAAAAAAAAAAAACTCAAATGGAAAATTTAATTTAAAGTGATCTTAGGTTTTTTACCATCACATCAAAAAGAATAAAATACTTAGGAATAAACCTACCTAAAGAGGCAAAAAACCTGTACTCCGAAAACTATAAGACACTGATGAAAGAAATTAAAGACCATGCAAACAAATGGAAAGATATACAGTGTTCTTGGATTGGAAGAATCAATATTGTTAAAAAGACCATACTACCCAAGGCAATCTACACATTCAGTGCAGTCCCTATCAAATTACCAGTGGCATTTTTCACAGAACTAGAACAAAACATTTTTTAAATTTGTATGGAAAAAACTAAAGACCCTGAATAGCCAAAACAATCTTGAGAAAGAAGAACAGAACTGGAAAAATCATGTTCCCTGAATTCAAACTATACTACAAAGCTACAATAATCAAAATAGTACAGTACTGGCACAAAAACAGACACATAGATCAATAGAACAGGATAGAAAGCCCAGAAATAAACTCACACTCTTATGGTCAATTAATCTATGATAAAGATGACAAGAATATACAATGGAGAGAAGACAGTCTCTTCAATAAGTGGTGCTGGGAAAACTGGACAGCTACATGTGAAAGAATGAAAGTAGAACACTTCCTAACACCATACGCAAAAATAAACTCAAAATGAATTAAAGACCTAAATATAAGACCAGATACTATAAAACTCCTAGAGAAAAACATAGGCAGAACACTCTTCGACATAAATCACAGCAATAGTTTTTTTGGATTAATCTCCTAGAGTAATGTAAACAAAAGCAGAAATAAACAAATGGGACCAAATTAAACTTAAAAGCTTTTGCACAGCAGAGGAAGCCATAAACAAAATGAAAAAACAACCTATGGAATGGGAGAAAATATTTGCAAACAATGCAGCCAACAAGGGATTAATTTCCAAAATACACAAATGGTTCATACAGCTCAATATCAACAAAACAACCAATCAAAAAAATGGGCAGCAGGGCTTCCCTGGTGGCGCAGTGGTTGAGAGTCCGCCTGCCCATGCAGGGGACACGGGTTCGTGCCCCGGTCCAGGAAGATCTCACATGCCGCAGAGCGGCTGGGCCCGTGAGCCATGGCCACTGAACCTGCGCATCCTGAGCCTGTGCTCCTCAACGGGAGAGGCCACAACAGTGAGAGGCCCACGTACCGCAAAAAAAAAAAAAATGGGCAGAAGACCTAAATAGACATTTTTCCAAAGAAGACATACAGATGACCAACAGGCACATGAAAAGATGCTAAACTTCACTAATTACTAGAGAAATGCAAATCAAAATTATAAGGTATCACCTCACACCTGTCAGAATGGCCATCATCAAAAAGTCTAAAAATAATAAATGCTGGAGAGGGTATGGAGAAAAGGGAACCCTCCTAAACTATTTGTGGGAATGTAAATTGGTGCAGCCACTATGGAGAATAGTATGGAGTTTCCTTAAAACTGAAAATAGAGTTACCATATGATCCAGTAATCCCACTCCTGGGCATATATTTGGAAAAGACAAAAACTCTAATTCTAAAAGGTACATGCACCCCAATGTTCATAGCAGTACTATTTTCAGTCGCCAAGACATGGAAACAACCTAAGTGTCCATCAACAGATAAATGGATAAAGAAGACATGGAATATATATATATATATATACACACACACACACACACACACACACACACACACACACACACACAATGGAATATTACTCAACCATAAAAAAGAATGAAATAATGCCATTTGCAGCAACATGGATGGACCTAGAGTTTATCACACTAAGACAGACAGAGAAAGGCAAGTATCATATGATATCATGTATGTGTGAAATCTTAAAAAAATGATACAAATCAGCTTGTTTACAAAACAAAAATAGATTCACAGACATAGAAAACAAACTTATGGTTACCAAAGGGGAAGGGGGGGATGAATTAGGAGTTTGCAATTAACAGATACACATTACTATATATAAAATAGATAAACAACAAGGATCTACTGTATAGCACAGGGAACTGTATTCAATATCTTCCTAGATATTTATTTACAAAACAGAAACAGACTCACAGACTTAGAGAACAAACTTATGGTTACCAGGGGAAAAGGGTGGGTGGGAGGGATAGTTAAGTTTGGGATTGACATGTACACAGTGCTATATTTAAAATGAATAACCAACAAGACCTACTGTATAGTACAAGGAACTCTGCTCAATATTATGTAGCAACCTAAATGGGAAAAGAATTTGAAAAAGAATAGATACATGTATATACATAACTGAACCACTTTGCTGTACACCTGAAACTAACACAAAATTGTAAATCAACTACACTTCAATAAAATTTTAATTAAAAAAAAGAAAAATAATAAAGAACATTAGCTACTAAAAAAATAAAAATATAAAGTGATCTTAGGTTACTAGTGCCTCCAAGAAAAAGGGGGGGAGGGAGGAGCAAAGAAACAAAAACAGCACAAAAAATACAAAGCATATAAATATAAATAAATCAAAATATATCAGGAATCAAAATAAATGCAAATGGACTAAACCCTCCAGACAGCAGACAAAGATCATCAGATGGATATTTTTATATCTCATGTGCTGTTTCCAAGGGATACCTTTAAAACCTAAGGACAGGTGCACATGGACTTTATCCTTTTTGGTTCCTAGGGAACAAAAACTGAAATTCAATCTTCAAGGGCAAAATCACCAGGTGTGTGCGTGCCATCCAATTCTGTAAATTGGGATTGGTTTTGAGTGCTGAAGATTTCTATTAAAGACAGCTGTCTGTAGTATTGTGCCACATAATTTATTCTTCAATGCAGTATTAGTTTGGAAAATGTAAAGAAAGGCCCAGCATCATAGTCAGGCAGATGAGGTATGTAGATCATACAGATCTCTCTATCACTGACTGTGTCTGGAGAATTAACCATATAAACCCAACTTCCAAACTCTGTTGTGAAGATTCAACAAGCAGACACATGTAAGACTAAGTGCCAAGCATTAGGCTAAGCGCTCCATAAATAACAGATATTATCACATATTATTATAAGATCAAACATCCTCAGGCTCAGGTTATGAACACAAGCAGCAATGACTGATCAAAACTTTTACCCTGTACTCCTAAATGATCGTCCTAGAAGGCTTCCCATTCTTCTGAGTCTTTGTGAGGAAATGTTGCATATATGTGTAACTCATTACCAAAGAATGTTGCAGGGTTTCTTTGGCCTAGGAATCGCTAGAAGCCTTTGAAATTTGATGTGAAAAATTCACGAAGTGAGTGTGAAGTGCCGCCATCCTGTGGTTGTTTCATGCAATGTCCTTTCCTGAAACTCTCCCTGGTCCCTGGAACTTAAATAGCACATTCATTTCCATAGATCCCCATTAGTGTTGCCCAGAGTAAAAACTCTGTGTTAATTTATACCAAAATGACACAGTGAGCCAAAGGCTGGGCAAAAGAAAAGAGGAAGAGATGCTATAGTGTATTATCCTTCCCAATGGCCTCTCCCGTTGCGGAGCACAGACTCCGGACGCGCATGCTCAGCGGCCATGGCTCA